ATAGTATGCAACAATAAAGAACAATGACAAATCCATGAAACATCTCACAACATGCATGAATCTGGATGGTATTATGTTGAGTGAAATAAGTCAATCACAAAAGGACAAATATTTTTAACAGACCACTGTTATAAAAACTCAAGAAAAGGTTTATACACAGAAACAAACAATCTTTGACGGTTATGAGGGAGGGGAGGGGTGTTGAGGTAAATCCCTAATTAGATAGTAGACAAGTGTTAACTTTGATGAAGGGAAAGACAACACAAAATATAGGGGAAGTCAGCACAGTTTGACCAAGGCAAAGTCACAGAAACTTCCTAGACACATCCAAATACCTGAGGGACCGAGTTACTGGGGCTAGGGGCTGGGGACCATGGTCTCGGGGGACATCTAGGTCAACTGGCATAACATAATTCATAAAGAAAATGTTCTACATCCCACTCTAGTGAGTAGCATCTGGGATCTTAGAAGTTTGAGAGCGGCCATCTAAGATACATCTATTGGTCCCATCCCATCTGGAGCAAAAAAGAAGGAAAAAAAACAAAGACACAAGGAAACCATTAGTCCAAAGGACTAATGGACCACATGAATCACAGCTTCCAGCAGCCTGAGCCCAGAAAAACTAGATGATGCCGAGCTACCACCACTGACCGCTCTGACAGGGATCACAATAGCGGGTCCTGAACAGAGGGTGAGAAAAATGTCGAACAAAGTTCAAATTCCCAAAAACAGACCAGACTTACTGGTCTGACAGAGACTGGAAGAACCCCCGAGACTATGTCCCCTGAACACCCTGCTAACTCAGAACTAAAGCCATTTCCAAAGTCCATCTTTCAGCCAAAGATTAGACAGGCATATAAAACAAACAATAACACATGCGAGGAACGTGCTTCTTAGATCATTCAAGTATACAAGACCAAATGGGCAACACCTGCCCCAAAGCAAAGAGAGACGACAGGAAGGGACAGGAAAATGGGATGAATGGACATGGGGAAATCAGTGTGGAAAGGGGGAGAATGCTGACACATTGCAGGGATTGCAACCAATGTCACAAAACAATTTGTGTATAAATTTTTAAATGAGAAACTAATTTGTGCTGTAAACTTTCACCTAAAGCACAATAAAATTATTTTAAAAAATCAAATTCACAAAAAAGACAAGACTTACTGGTCTGACAGAGACTATGGCCTTAAGACACCTTTCTGAACTGGAACCGAAGCCATTCCCGGACACCACCTTTCAGCCAAACCACAGACAGGCCCATAAAATAAATAATAACACCCAAGAGGAATCTGCTCCTTAGAACAATCAGTTATACGAGATCAAAAGGGCAACAGGGGCCCAAAAGCAAAGATAAGAAGGCAGGAAGGGATAGAAAACCAGGATGAAAGGAAACGGGGAACCTAGGACATAAATGGGGAGAGTGCTGACACACTGTGGAGAATGAAACCAATGTTATGGAACACTTTGTGTACAAACTATTGAATGGAAAACTAATTTGCTCTGTAAACTTTCACCTAATGCACAATTTAAAAAAATTTATAGAGGTGGAGAAGAGATAAGCATCTGCCAGGGTAGCAGATGGAGGGAGGGAGATGGGTGTGGTACAAAAGGGTAGCACATGGGAGCCTTGTAATGGAACAGTTTTGTATCTCGACTGTGATACAGGGGTGATAAAATTGCATAGAACGAAATATACACATGGAGCTCTGGAGGTGCAGTGGTTAACAGCTCAGACTGCTAACCAAAAGATCAGCAATTTGAATCCACCAGCTGCTTCTTGGAAACCCTATGGGGCAGTTCTACTCCGTCTTATAGGGTCACCATAAGTCAGAATCAATTAGAAGGCAATGGGTAAATACACACAAACACAAATGAGTGCATGGTGAAATCTGAATAAGGTTGGTGGAGTATATCAATGTCAGTTTTCGATTTGTGATATTGTGCTATACTTATGCAAAATGTCACCACTGGGGGAAACCAGGTGAAGGGTATAGGGGATCACTCTATATTATTTCTTACAACTACACATGGATCTACAATTATCTCAAAATAAAAAGTTTTTAAAAATCACTATGTAGTTCTTCCTTATTCTGTCATATTTTTCTCTCACCCATTAGATGCCTGATTTCTTCCTTCCCCCCAAAAAATCTTGCCACTCTTTGTAGTCCTCCTAGTGAAAATCATTTCACTGTAATTAGAAGTTTAACTCTTGCTTTTCTACAAACTCTATTCATGCATTATTACTTTTTAACAGGAACATGTCCTTGGGAGACAGCCTTGTATTTGAATAGTGACTCTCAACTTGTATGAAATGGATAAAATACTTTTGAGTCTTACTCTTTCCTTAAATGGGGATAAAGTAACCTATGTCATAGTTTTATTGTGAAAATAAGCAAAATAATAAACACTGCACTTGGTACATAGTAGGTCGTTAAATGTTTGTTTCCCTCCTTTTCTATTAACACCACAAAATTCATCTTAACTTCTGGATAACACCACCAACAAAAAAATTTGATCTTATACTGCAAAACCTCAACA